CCCCATCATTTGGAGACCCCTGAACCCCATCATTTGGAGACCCCTGAGCCCCATCATTTGGAGACCCCTGAGCCCCATCATTTGGAGACCCCTGAGCCCCATCATTTGGAGGGGGGTGTACATACTTTTGGCCATGTAGTGTATGTGTGGTCGTCTAACACCTCTCACTGATTTGTAGATGATAACTTCATCCCCGGGATTCACTCAACATGGCTGCCACATAATGCCCCATCTCCCTGGAATCATTCTATTGGCCGCAGCGTATCTACACGTCATGGGGAAGAAGGGACTACTCACGGAATCAGTGAAGCCGGACTGCTGGTTGGCATGTTCAAGCTGCTTCTGGAGAGGAATGCCGCTGCTGGGAGGAATAAACCCTGAGGAGGACACAAAAGAAACAGGAAGTCAAGGGGGAGGGTATCCGTGTCAACTCCGCCCATAGTAGGACATTGGTGATGATGTCAAGGGGAAGGGGGTAAGTAGAGGGTGTAGGACAATGGTGAGGAAGAGGATGGACAATGGTGAGGAAGAGGATGGACAAAGGTGGAGAAGAGGATGGACAATGGTGAGGAAGAGGATGGACAATGGTGAGGAAGAGGATGGACAATGGTGAGGAAGAGGATGGACAATGGTGAGGAAGAGGATGGACAATGGTGAGGAAGAGGATGGACAATGGTGAGGAAGAGGATGGAAACAATGGTGAAGAGGAGGATGGACAATGGTGAGGAAGTGGACGGACAATGGTGAGGAGGAGGATGGACAATGGTGAGGAAGATGGACAATGGTGAGGAGGATGGACAATGGTGAAGAGGACGGACAATGGTGAAGAGGACGGACAATGGCGAGGAGGAGGATGGACAATGGCGAGGAGGAGGATGGACAATGGTGAGGAAGAGGATGGACAATGGTGAGGAAGAGGATGGACAATGGTGAGGAAGAGGATGGACAATGGTGAGGAAGAGGATGGACAATGGTGAGGAAGAGGATGGACAATGGTGAGGAAGAGGATGGACAATGGTGAGGAAGAGGATGGACAATGGTGAGGAAGAGGATGGACAATGGTGAGGAAGAGGATGGACAATGGTGAGGAAGAGGATGGACAATGGTGAGGAAGAGGATGGACAATGGTGAGGAAGAGGATGGACAATGGTGAGGAAGAGGATGGACAATGGTGAGGAAGAGGATGGACAATGGTGAGGAAGAGGATGGACAATGGTGAGGAAGAGGATGGACAATGGTGAGGAAGAGGATGGACAATGGTGAGGAAGAGGATGGACAATGGTGAGGAAGAGGATGGACAATGGTGAGGAAGAGGATGGACAATGGTGAGGAAGAGGATGGACAATGGTGAGGAAGAGGATGGACAATGGTGAGGAAGAGGATGGACAATGGTGAGGAAGAGGATGGACAATGGTGAGGAAGAGGATGGACAATGGTGAGGAAGAGGATGGACAATGGTGAGGAAGAGGATGGACAATGGTGAGGAAGAGGATGGACAATGGTGAGGAAGAGGATGGACAATGGTGAGGAAGAGGATGGACAATGGTGAGGAAGAGGATGGACAATGGTGAGGAAGAGGATGGACAATGGTGAGGAAGAGGATGGACAATGGTGAGGAAGAGGATGGACAATGGTGAGGAAGAGGATGGACAATGGTGAGGAAGAGGATGGACAATGGTGAGGAAGAGGATGGACAATGGTGAGGAAGAGGATGGACAATGGTGAGGAAGAGGATGGACAATGGTGAGGAAGAGGATGGACAATGGTGAGGAAGAGGATGGACAATGGTGAGGAAGAGGATGGACAATGGTGAGGAAGAGGATGGACAATGGTGAGGAAGAGGATGGACAATGGTGAGGAAGAGGATGGACAATGGTGAGGAAGAGGATGGACAATGGTGAGGAAGAGGATGGACAATGGTGAGGAAGAGGATGGACAATGGTGAGGAAGAGGATGGACAATGGTGAGGAAGAGGATGGACAATGGTGAGGAAGAGGATGGACAATGGTGAGGAAGAGGATGGACAATGGTGAGGAAGAGGATGGACAATGGTGAGGAAGAGGATGGACAATGGTGAGGAAGAGGATGGACAATGGTGAGGAAGAGGATGGACAATGGTGAGGAAGAGGATGGACAATGGTGAGGAAGAGGATGGACAATGGTGAGGAAGAGGATGGACAATGGTGAGGAAGAGGATGGACAATGGTGAGGAAGAGGATGGACAATGGTGAGGAAGAGGATGGACAATGGTGAGGGGGATGGACAATGGTGAGGGGGATGGACAATGGTGAGGAGGATGGACAATGCCATGGAAGTCAGCGGTAATACTGGTGGCCTCCAGCAGCCTCGGTATGAATGGAGAGGTCGCGGTGAGACGAGGGAGGACGGGGGGAGAAGTACCAACCTGCGTGAGCTCCGGTGTAATGACCGTGGACTGTGTATCCCGGCTGCTGGTGGGACAAGTACTGCATGGTGGGGAAGGCGGAGGGACCTGCAGGAAACACAACAGCAATGAGAGGAAACACTGGAATACAGGAAGTCTTAGATGTGAGCTGGAAGCCATTCTGACCTCTGATTGGCTGACTGGTAGTATAGGTGACCTGTCCGGCCTGGGCTGCACCAAAGCTGTGTTGCGATTGGCTGACAGTATAGGGGCTGTGACCCGACTGGCTGGTCTGGTACTGGCCATGTTCTGCCGCGGTTGGACTGAAGGACGGCTGTGTCTGGTAATGGCGGCCCTGGGAGGAAGTGACATCGGTGAGATGAAATCTTGAGACAGGAAGTCAAGACTAAGAAACGGCAAATGATACTGACGGTTATAACGGGCGGTCCAAACATCTGCTTGGAGCGATCGGCCATGAGAGAGCCGTGCCTGGAATGACCTCCGGGGCTCCCTGGAACGAGACAAGACGACATAAATACAGGACCCGTGTACTCCGCTACTACCCCGCCAGAGACATTCCTCCTCAGTGTGACCACTACAGCAACAGGGACGGATGAGACCTAGACTGACCTAGTGTCACCTAGAAGTAGTCCTGACCTAGTGTCACCTAGAAGTAGTCCTGACCTAGAAGTAGTCCTGACCTAGCGTCACCTAGAAGTAGTCCTGACCTAGTGCCACCTAGAAGTAGTCCTGACCTAGCGTCACCTAGAAGTAGCCCTTAAATAGCGTCACCTAGAAGTAGTCCTGACCTAGCGTCACCTAGAAGTAGTCCTGACCTAGTGCCACCTAGAAGTAGTCCTGACCTAGTGCCACCTAGAAGTAGTCCTGACCTAGTGCCACCTAGAAGTAGTCCTGACCTGGCGTCACCTAGAAGTAGTCCTGACCTAGTGTCACCTAGAAGTAGTCCTGACCTAGTGCCACCTAGAAGTAGTCCTGACCTAGTGCCACCTAGAAGTAGTCCTGACCTGGCGTCACCTAGAAGTAGTCCTGACCTAGTGCCATCTAGAAGTAGTCCTGACCTAGTGCCACCT